ACATTTCAGGAAAATTCCTCATGCATTCCGGCATCCTCAGCAGATTAACAACCACAATTCAGCTACAAAAAAATTCTCCGTATGCATGTCATACCTACAGGCGGTGTGCGACCTGACCACACAAACTCCCTGACAGATGACCCCCCCCCTCCATCCTGACTAAACCGCAAGATGATAAAAGCCCCCAACTCAGAAGAAAAGAGCACTGTGGCTCGCCGAACTATACATGTGTAGAATGCGCTCTTGGTCATTAAGCTGTGAGTTTGGCTGCTGCAGCTTCAGAGGGGGAATGTTCACACTGCGTATGCACAAAAACTCCTTGGTAGGAGAGGGTACCCCCTTCATCCTGCATGAGCTGCGGGATGATAATAGTGCGCCCCCAATACAGAAGGAATGTGCGCTGTGGCTTGCTCAAGTATGCATGTTCAGCGCGCGCTCTCTCTCCATCGATTACACAGCGCTGAGCTCAGTCGCTGCAGCTTCAGAGGGGAAATGAGCACACTGCGTATGCACAAAAAACTCCTTGGTAGGAGAGGAGACCCCCTCCATCCTGCATCCTACATGAACTGCGGGATGATAATAGTGCGCCCCCAATACAGAAGGAATGTGCATTGGGCTTGCTCAAGTATGCATGTTCAGCGCGCGCGCTCTCTCTCCATCGATCACACAGCGCTGAGCTCAGTCGCTGCAGCTTGAGGGAGAATGTACACACTGCGTATACATGAAATCTCCTTGGTAGGAGAGGAGACCCCTTCATCCTGCCTGAACTGAAGGACACACCAGACAATAGAACCCCAATTAAAAAGAAATAAGAGTAAAGGCTTGTTCATACGCTGCACATGCGCAGTGCGTTCATTCTCCCTTTGAAGCTGCAGCAGCAGAGAGAGAGCACTGCGCATGTGTAGGTGAGAGAGCCACAGCACCAATTCCTTCTTTGTTGGGGACACACTTTTATCATCCTGAGTTTAGTCAGGGTGGAGGGGGGGTCTCCCACCAAGGAGTTGTGCACAGCCTGTAGGTATGACATTAGAAAAGGAGCTGAACTGTGGCTTGTAATCTGCAGAGCATGCTGGGAATACATGGGGGATTTTTCTGGAAATGTGTCTAGAGGTGGACTAACCCTTTAAGTGAGAGCTGGCTGGGGAAAGCCTCAGCTACGTTATGATGAGGGGAAAGGCAGCCGTGGTTTGTCTGGAGGATGGAAACTAGGAGGGAGGTGCTGTGGAAAAAGTTTTCAGTGAGTGTTCTGGGGGCTGGGAAGTGTCTGCTCCTCCTTCCCCTTCTCTCCACACGCCATCAGAGCCGAGGAGCAGCGGACACAGCCGTACACACTGAGCTCAGGGCTGAAGGCGGGATACCAGCCTGTGGTAAGAAGCAGGGTGGAGGAGGAGGAGGAGGAGAAGGGCTGTGTCTGTCAGGGGATAGACGCTGCTTTTCTATCACGGTGTACAATGTACGACTGACGAGTCGGTTCTGACTCTTCCTTGTCACTGGAGCCGGACAGCAGCGACATCACTGGACTGAGGGAGACCCTCACACAAAGGTACATAGACCTGCACCTACCCTACACTGGGGTACTCAGACCATCACCTACCCCACACTGGGGTACTCAGACCATCACCTACACCACACTGGGTTACACAGACCTGCACCTACCCCACACTGGGGTACACAGACCTCCACCCACCCCACACTGGGGTGCACAGACCACCTACCCCACACTGGGGTACACAGACCTGCACCTACCCCACACTGGGGTACACAGACCTGCACCCACCCTACACTGGGGTACATAGACCTCCACCCACCCCAGACTGTGGGCTTAGCTGGATGGTACTGCCCATTAACCCATTACAGCTCTGTGCCCATTAACCCATTACAGCCCTCTGCCCAGTACTGCCCATTAACCCATTACAGCTCTGTGCCCAGTACTATCCATTACAGCCCTGTGCCCAGTACTGCCCATTAACCCATTACAGCCCTGTGCAAGTCATCACATAACAGACATGGTGGGCGGGGGGGTTTAGACTATGCAGGAATTTGTCATTTTGATGATCAGAGGCCAATCAAATCATGTGTTGCAGAGTTAGTATGGCGGATGACAGACGAGGAACTCTGCTGCTGGTGATTTGCTGAAATGTCTTTCCCATCGATAGTGATCACCATTCAGCAGCATTCGGGGTCAGTGACAGAGCGTACATTGTCTTTGTAGATCTAAAGGAGATTGTACAATCAGATTGTAGAGTGCATGGCCAGCATTGGGCTGATGTGAGTGATCCTGGAGCTTGAGACAAATCACCAGCGGCAGGATCCCTATAGGGGGCCGCCGCCTGTCTGTACCTATGGAATTGTTCCCTCTGTAGAGATGTCCCTGACCCCAAATGCTGCTGACTCGTGATGGGAGCGACACCTTGATGCCTCTGTTACTGAGGGATCAACTATATAGTTCAAGGGCCCCCCCTTGATTTCTTTTTAATTGAATACATTTTAGGTTTCTCCTCATATGACATCATTCTGGTAAATGAGATTGTATTGTGTATGGCCAGATGTTCTGGGGCTGGTTGGAGCTCTGGTTAGGATTGCTGTGTTCCAAGTAGTTCAACCAGGACTGTCCCAATATTTCTATGTGCCAGATCAACAAAAGCCCTCGCATACGTTCTGTGCGCCAGTTTTGCCAAATAATGGTAAAAAAAGGTCATATGTGTTTCTATCAATGTCCAATAGCGTGCACCAAAGTAATCCAACACTTGTGTCAATGTTCTGAGTTAAAGTGACACTCAACGTGGGAGTTCAATTAGACATACGTTCCATTACCCTACCTGTTAACACAAATGTATCTTATTTGTCTATCACTCGGCTGTAGAGCCTCAAATCATCTCTGAATTGGTGCGGACACTGTCCTTCCTTCTGGAGGGTGGCTACTTTTATTCCACATGGACCCTGTGTATGTTATAAAGTAGCCACCGCTCCAAGCTCACTCCTGGGATGGACTACAACCTCATGTTTGGTTTATTAATTTGTATTGAGATTGTAGTCCATCACAGGATTGAGCTTGTAGCGGTGACTACTTTACACAGGGACCATGGGGAATAAAAGTAGTCACCCTCCAGAAGGAAGGACAGTGTCAGCACCAGTTCAGAGATGATTTGAGGATCTACAGCCGAGTGATACACAAATAAGATACATTTTTGTTACTAGTTAAGGTACTTTAACAATAGTTCTACCATATATCAGAGTGGTGTCAGTCCTGTAGTGAGGGGGAGCAGGACAGAGAGGAGAGGTGGATGGACAGGACAATTTATTTTTATTTTTTTTACATTTGATTTTTATTTTAATTTTCCAAAGAAAAAACCCAAAACCCCCTTTTCTCTTTTTGGCAACTGAAGCGTTAATAATGTACATATAGAAACGGGTGCATTTTACTGGTGTTACCCCCCTGATGATATTCTATGTCTGTGAACGTTGTGAGCATTTTACAACCTGTAATCGTTGTATATAAAATATGCTTTTTATTCATTTTACTTATTTTCCGGTATAAAAAACTGAGGCTGTAAACCTGGCAACCTTTAAAGAAGACCTCCCAGGCAAATCAAATGTTAACCCTTGCAGTGGGAGTACCTCCGCACCGCAAGGGTTAAGTGTTTGTTTTGTCTAGGAAGCTAAAATAACAAGGATATTCTCACCCAAACCTCAATCCCAGCTGGCTCCTAGACCGCTCCCTTCAATATGTCCCCGTCCTCCACTCTAGCAGTCTAAGGTCCTGTGAGTCATCACATCCAATATAGAGTATGGAACGTGAGGACACAGAGGGACATAACATTGCTGGAGCGGGGGAGGAGACAGACTGGGTGAGTATAGTACTGTTTCTAATAGAAAGTCGGTATACAGATTGAGTGAATGAACTTTTTATGACAACTGTTGGATATGGATGGATGGAGGTTTTATTGTCACTTCAGCAAAGGGTTCTTTACAGTAAGAGCTGTGAAAGGCTTAGGCTGGGCACACACCTTACAACCATGGTTGTAAGGTACTTAAAAAAACGTACGATCTGCCTATCTTGGACAGGCAGATCGTACTTGCGATGATCGCAAGCCACGGCTTCCCATGACTGCAATGTCGAACGGGCAGTGTGCGCTTGCGCACGCCGGCCCGTCCGGCTTTTATCTTACGAACATGCCACAAACCCGCCGAACGTCGTACGATACTCGGCGGGTTTTCGAACATGTTCGTAAGTTTAGAGTGGTGCGACCTTACAGTAGTAGAGGTCGCACGGCTTCCACACACCTTACGATAATCGTATGATCGCGGGATTTCCCGCGATTATCGTACGGTGTGTGGGGACCTTTTTTATAGTGATGACCAGAGTACTATGGAATTTCACACGGACTGGAGGAGTTTGTTGTTGCTGATAAAGGATTGGAGCGTTTTCTGAATGTTATTATGAAAGGCTAACCAGCAACATAGTGATCCAACTGCCATTAGAGGGTCACAAAGGATTTTTTACCTCCTGTGTGGAAGGTTTTTGCTTTTCCTTTTCTGAACCAAAATTTCCGTGATAAGTACAACTGGATGGACAGCAATGTTTCTACGCATCTGTATTTCTGAGTTAAGCCAGGTATAGACGGTCATATTTTCTTAGTTTAGTCTTTGGGCCGAACTAAGAAAATATAAGAGATTCCTCCAACGCTTATGAGTGTTGATTGACGAATCCCCCGCTATTTTCATTGTATTCTGATAGCAGCTGCTGGCCGCTGTTAGAATACCCAAATGGAGCTTGCAGATGATTGGCTGCAACAACTAATCGATTAAATTGATTATGAGAATAGTTGGTAACTTCTCATTATTGATTAGTTGGAGGGGGGGGAGAGGGAGAGAGTTTTCCTTTTCCTTTTTTTTCCCCCTTAATGCAACCAGTTGATCGAAAAATGATTCGGACATTTAATCGATTATGAAAATAATTGTTGGCTACAGGCTCAGTTTGTCCAATAATTTTCCAACCAGCTCCTTCAGTCAGCTGATTGAGGAATGCTGGCAAAAGGGTTCCGACAGCAGAACTCAGATGATCAAGAACCGGCTGTAATTTGCACCATGTATTATACCCATCTTTAGTTTATTCTGCCAGGTAAACGTTTGACATTCTTTCATTGTTTATTGTTGACACCTTTTTACCTGTAGGGTCCCATTCAGTCTTAAGCTGCCCATACTCTCCAGCTGTGTGCTTAGCACACCCGCCGCTGTTAGACTACTTGAACAGTGATGGAAGCTGATTGGCTGTCGGCACTGTTTGGTCCAAGATTTTCCATCTGGATCCTTTTTGATTTTCTTATTGAAGGATGCCAGACAGAAGGGTTCCATCGGGGGCACCCACTTTGCATATTTCAGTCGGTTCATCAAGAAGCACAGTGTATGGTCAGCTTTAGACATTTTGTATCTTAAATTTTACAGTGATCAGGATTATTATTATTTTCACATCTGAGTGTTGTCTCTTTTTTTTTCCTTCACCATTGACTTCGATAGTAGCACCTGAAAAATGCACAAAAACACTTTTTTTGTCTAGTAACTAGCTTTTCATTGGGTAAAAATGTAAAACCAAACGCTCAAGCCTAAAACGCACGCAAATGCCAAAGACACTCCGCTCCAGTGTGAGTGGGCCTAAGTGTTGTAGTGAAGAATTGCATTTCCTGAAATATGCTTTGACTAAGGTTCCCGCCTCATGTATGTTTAGACACCTTTTCTAACATGTAAGGGATGACTATATAGGAAAGTTCCGCAGTGAGTTTACTGACAAGCACAGCACTTGTTTCCACAAGCACTCGAACACTTGACACCCAGATTCCCATGTTATTCTATTGTTCCTGCTCCAGATCTGAGCGATGTGCTGTTTTTTTAACACTCAGAAAAAGTACATGGACTACATTGGGGCATGATTGTGCTTTTTGGCCCCAATAGGCTTCAGTAGGAGAATCTGAAAACATTTTTTTTTACGTGATTCTCCACCCAACATCTCCTCCTTCCAGTAGCTAGCTTTCCTTTGTCTGAAACAAATATTCTGAAGCCTCAAAATAAGTGTAAAAAAGGCAGTGACAGTCGAGTGTGAATGTGGCCTAACCATTGGATTTCGGGTGATATACATGTTACCGCCGGATGAATTGGTGCTGATTTACATTGATCTCAGCATTAGGTGTTAGTCCATACACTTCCTAATCTGTTCCTTCACTTGAAAACACTTCACCATGCTATACCTAGAGTCAGATGGACCACTCTACTTATATATACATGGCCATCCTGAAGTGGTTATACCACGAACACGAGTTGCTGCTGCAGCCATGATCTTGGTATCATTTTATTAGCAGGTGGAGCACTTCAGTGTACAAGTGATCTGGGCTTCTATAGAGCAACCAGATCACTTGTACCCGCCTGTTTAGGTCCTCTGCATTGCAGGGCAGAGGAGAGGAGTCAATGGGCGTTTAATAGACCTCCAATGTCTCCATAAAGAGAACCTGTTACCCCCCTTGTAATAGCAAAAAGTTATGTAAAAAAAATGTAAAAAAATAAACATATAAAAGAAAACTAAAAGCAACCTGGCTTCCTCTGCGATCTGCTTGGGAATGCAAACACATGCGTAGGACATGTACCTTTTATGTATACAGGGATTGCTCCACAGGTATTGCCACGAATGTCACAGTGAGAGCCATTCTCAGGCTATAATTCGCTGTTCACTCTAAACTGATGACCTGTAAAGGCTTTTAAAGCACTGCCTATGGACAATTTTGAGTACCATAGTTTTCCACCATTGCACTGGCGTGTGCAGTTTTATGGCTTGTTCACTAATGTGCTCAAATGTATTGAAATTTTACAAATTCTATGTGTACACCATAAGAGGCATGGAGGAGCTCAGCTATGAGGAAAGATTAGCTGCACTGAATCTGTTCTCTCTGGAGAAGAGGCGATTAAGGGGGGACATGATCACCATGTATAAATACATAAATGGTCCCTATAGTGAGCTTGGTTACAAATTATTCACTTTAAGGTCACTGCAAAGGACAAGGTGGCACTCTTTACGTCTGGAGGAAAGGAGGTTTAACCTTTGCATAAGGAAATGATTCTTCACAGTTAGAGCTGTGAAAATGTGGAATAGACTCCCCCAGGAGCTCAGCTAATTGTTTAAAAAAAAAATCTCGATGTATTCCTAAATGCACAGAATAGTAGTGGGTATTGAATTCTTATAGGTATATTAAGCATCAGAGATTGTTGATCCCGGGAATATCCGATTGCCTTATGGGATCAGGAAGGAAATTCTTTCCCCTGTTGGAGCAAATTGGACCATGCTTTATAGGGGGTGGGGGGGGGTTGCCTTCGTCTGGATCAACAGTGGGTCATTGTGGGCATAGCGTTCTGTTTAGGCTTTTCTTTTTTTTTTAAATATCTCTATAGGTTGAACTCGATGGACATGTGTCTTTTTTTCTAACCTAAATATGTAACCATGTACCACGTCTCATTACGTGTCATACTTTTTTTTAAGCACAAACCACCGGAATGCAGTGGTGTGAACTATCACCATCCATAACAAGGCAATTTGCCTTGTATTGCGTTTGGGCTGTGCTGGAAAAATGGCCATTGCAGCTCCGAACACAGATGGTGTGACTGAACCCTTAAGGCTTGACATGTTTTGTATCTATCTATTTATTTAACTTAACCCAATCTTTTATGTTTTATCAAAAAATTGGGTATTATATTGTGTTTTATATGCACTAGAATTCATTTGTGTTTTTTTTCCTAATACAAATTAAACTTAAAACAATGCAGCTACCACATTTATTCTACAGGGCCTCTGCTTTTAGAAAATATACAATTTTTCGGGGGGTTTAAAGTAATTTCATATCCATTAAATTCTGATTTTAAAAATGGAAACATTGCTGGGGTCGTAAGGTGGTTAAAGATAGCCATTGATTGTAAATGAACTGTCTGCACAGTGTGACATGTGTTCTAATTCATCCTCGCTTGGTGTTCTATGTGTTTGTGCTAAATTGTGCATTGGTGCTAATGCGGGGTAAAATGCACCCAACCTGTATTGGCAAGAGTCAACTTTAAATGTGATTTGCTTTGTGGAGCACTTCATCTTTTTCCTAATTTATATAAATAACCCCGCCATCAGAGAAATTGTAAAAAAATTTCAGTAAGAGAGCGCACATTGCTTTATTGTTGTGCAATGAAATTTTCTAATTACCAATTAATAACATTACACATATGAGTACGATGACCTGTGTGATTAATGAGATCCTGGAATGTAAAATGCCTTAATTTTTCAGTGTATTCCTTTTACCGCAGCAGATAAAAGTCTCGGAGTTTACACGCTTCCTGGAAAAAGATCTTTTCCTGTAATGAGAGGCCCAAAATGAAACATGTTAATTAGGCCGCCGTCAGTCATCAAGTGAAATGTTTTCTGGTTATCTTATCTTGGTATAGGATAATCCTCTACTAATGAAAAGATTTGCATTCTGCTTTTGCCAGCTCTGTAAAGTAACAGCGGCAACTAAATCCAAGCTTATTATCTCATAATGAAACCGAAGGCAAAGATATCCCCGATTGTTGTAATGCAGCTTTTCAAGCTCCATAGCGTTTGGTTTATAGGGCGGAAAGGTTGCGCATAACTTGGCGTTTATCAGCAAATACTTTTCCATGGCTTTTTGTTAGCGTAGTAAACGTACCCTTCCATATTGGTTCCCAGTCATCCAATCCAAGCAGTTATGACCGTCAAATACAAGGGCAGGCTGATAAATGTTGCCCTCACTGAAACAGAAAATTAGCGGGAAAAGATTTTTAATAACGAAAATATATACCTAGATTTATTTTTAAAACTGCATAATTATTTTTCTACAAAATCACCGTACACTTCAATACACGCCTGCCAACGCTGCACTTGTTTTTTAAATTGGTCCTTAAAAAAAAACAAACATTGGTGGTTTTTGTTTTTGAAACCATTTCCTCACTGCAGACTTCACCTCTTTATCACAGATGGAACACTTGAAGGGCCAGTGCTTCTTTACAGATGAAGTGCTGGCCCTTCAAGTGTTCCTTTTTAGTTTTGGGAACAGGTGGAAGTCACTGGGAGCCAGGTCTGGGCTATACGGTGGATGTGGCAGCACTGAAAAGTTCAGGTGTTGAATTGCAGCTCTTGTTGCTGCACTTGTGTGAGGCCTGTCGTTGTCGGGTTGAAGAAGCATTTAATTTCTTATTCCAATCCATTTGATTCTCTTTTATGCAATAAGAGTTTTAATATAACATTTAGAGTTTTTATTGTTGTTCCTTTTTCAAGAAAGTCTGCAAGAACAATATGAGAACAACAGAAATGAAACACTTCTACAACACGACAATGCCAGGTCTCACACAAGTGCTGCAACAAGAGCTGCAATTCAACACCTGGACTTTTCAGTGCTGCCACATCCACCGTATAGCCCAGACCTGGCTCCCAGTGACTTCCACCTGTTCCCAAAACTAAAGGAACACTTGAAGGGCCAGCACTTCATCTGTGACAGAGGTGAAGTCTGCAGTGAGAAAATGGTTTCAAAAAAAAAACCCTTTTCTTTGCCCTGTATGAAGCACTGGTTCACTATATGAGCGATAACATTGGCTGAATTAGGCTATGACATATCTGCAGGCTCTTGTTGTTGTTGTTGTTGAGGGAAATGGTCATTGTACTGCTTAGACAAGGTTCAGCTTTATTCTGTATGGAGTTCTCATTCGTATGTGCATTACCCAATCTGTAGTCACTTTGCTAAAGGTAGATCAGTACAAGATGGATTCTGATTGGTTGCTTTGGGTTAGCACATTTCCATATATTTTTTTTTTTTAATTCTTGATGGGTACATGTTACAAATATAAAATAGGTGTTATCCCAATTCGGCTGCCAAAGTGGAAATAAACATTAAGAATTAGCACTTGAATAGAATTTTGTTTATTGAATACGGCCATTTGATTGGTGTTTAAGCCTCATAAGCCAGAATTGGGAGATGTCCACTTGCACCTTATTTCTGCATAGGCTAAGCATGGACAATAGGCCTTTTGGGTTTAGGACTGCACAAGCAGAGACATGAGAGGGCCCTCTAGTATGTATGGGCACATTTAGGTTTATTCTCTTTATTCAACATTTTAGGTATAAGCAAGGGATACAGAAAAGAAAATAAAGTCAAACTGACCAACACACGGCACATTTAGGATTTTAAAAAAGGTGGTTGTTCTGAGCAGCTTGCACTAATAATGGAGGACTCTTCCCATCCTCGCAGGAGTGTGTGTGCTTATTACTGCCTTCTTGATAACCTTAATTTTCATTAAGTGATGATTTGATTTGTGTAAATCATCCTATAAAGCCTTTTTGTAATGTGTTATAATCAGTCTGTTGTCATATTACATAATTGTTGTGGTGCTGTTACATTTCGGTTTGCATTAATGAAAATGATGTATGCTAACACTTGTATTCTATATGATGTGCTTTATTTTCAGCTTTGTCCAGGAGACGTTCTTATTTATAGTAAATAATGAAGTCCTGTCACTATCCCATCCCCGCTGTAGCTATTGCCTTGTGTATTTCTTGGATTTTGCCTGTACAGTGCTGCAATAAAGCCCTCTGTGCAAGTGATGTCAGCAAATGCTTAATTCAGGTAAGATAAGTCATGGCTGTACAGAGACTGTAGACTAGTCTGTGTTCTGGCAATGTTATTGTCTAACTTTAAAGCGTATCTAAACCCAAAAGCAAAATGTAATGTATTGCAGCTTACCATTCCTTGGATGTGGTGGCTGCATTGGTTTTCTTTTTTCAACAAGTGCAGAAAATTCCTATTGATCTCACTAGCAATACAATGCCTGTGTCACTTCCTGTGAGCTGATAAGAAACACAAACATCCTTATCGATCTTGTGTAAACTACTAGTCGCATCAATCTACCATGTAATGGAGATGAACAAAGACAGACATTTTTGAGGTCTAGCTGTGTCACAACCATGACTCCTCCATAGTTCAGTGTAGAACTGAGCGTAGCACAAAGGGACAGGAAGTGTGTTATTAACAGGTGAAAACGAAGGGAAAAGATTGACAAGCTGCAGTCAGTTAGATTTATTGCTTTTAGGTAAAAACTGGAGACGTTGCCCGTTGTGCCAGCCAGAATCTAGCTGTCATTTTTGCACTTGAGGATAGAAAATCAAAGTCCTGTTACCATACGAAAATCTTTATTTTTTTAATCCCACTGATCCTGCAGTCTTCAATGAACCAGACTTTCAGCTATGCCTCATTACATCCAAACAAACAAGATAGGGACTGTAGGTTTGGTCTTAAGTTCAATTTGTATGCAAGTTGGAACAGGTACATTTTTTAAGTAACTCCAGCCAAAACATTTTTTTTGTTTTGGATAACGTTTGCTTTGCTGTATGTGCCCCTGTTCAGAAGATTTCACCCCACTTTTTTCTCCCTGTGACAAGTGGAGTTTGAAAATTTGGGGTTTAGCTTCAGCGGGGGACACCTTTTTTCCCATGATAACTCTTACAGGAGTGAATTTTCCTTCCTAGGGGTAGATTTCCTCTCACTTCCTGTTGTCTCAAGGACAGAAAGTGAGATTAAATCTTTCTAATGAGGATACAGACAGCAGTAAAAACCTCACAGTGACCTGGAAAAAGTTGCGGGCACCCCTCGTCTGCACGTCCAACAAGAGCCAACTTCCTGTAATGTACGTACAGCACTACAAACCAGACCCAAAAAGGCGGGAACTCCTCGTCGTCGGCACAAGCACGGTAGCATTACAACTTCCCCTGCTGTACAGTAATAGCCTCCGTTTGTAAGTTGGAGTCGGATGTAAGTCGCATGTATGTAACTCGGGGACTGCCTGTATAGGGCAATCAAGTGTTTGGAAAGCAAATAGCCCCAGGTTCAACTGCTAACAATGCCCTTGCTCATAGGTTCTTTACGTTTTATTATTATTATACAGGATTTATATAGCGCCAACAGTTTGCGCAGCGCTTTACAATATAAGGAAGACATTACAATCACAATACAATTCAAGACAAGATGGTAAGGAAGGCCCTGCCCCTGAGGGCTTACAATCTAAAAGTTTTACAGCCAACTGTAGTATACGATAGTATATGATTGTTGATTGTAGAAAACCAAAGTCATTACGGTCTCTTTTAATCATAGGGCTGTATTGCATACTTTTTATATGCAGAGCTAACCCTTAACTTTACAGTCTTCTAATCAACATTAGCCTGCAAAGAAAGTCTGTTTAACGTGCATGATGTTGTAGTTCTAAAGTTTTTCAAATGCCATGTCTAAAACTTTGATCTAACAAAGCACAAATCTAAAAATAGAGATACATATAGATATATACACACACAGTCATGGGCAAAACTATTGACACCCGTCCATTTCTGTCAGATAAAGCACCACTTTGCACAGAAAATTATTGCAATTACAAATGTTTTGGCATTCTCATGTTTATTTCTTTTGTTTGTATTGGTATGACACAAAGTGGAGAGAAAAATAAGCCACATCTGACACATTCCATGCAAATCTCCAAAAATCGACTGGTCGAAATAATTGGCACCCTCAATATTTGGTAGCATAGCCCTTGGAAAAAATAACTGAAATTAATTGATTCCTGTAACCATCAATGAATTTCTTACACCTCTCTACAGGAATTTTGGAGCACTCTTTTTTCGCCAACTGTTCCAGGTCTCTCAGATTGAAAGGGTTCCTTTTCCCAACTGCTGTTCTAAGATCTCTCCATTGGTGCTCTATTGGATTTAGATCTGGACTCATTGCTGGCTAGTCCAATACTCTCTAGCGCTTTGTCTGAAACCATTTTTGGGTGCTTTTTGATGTGTGCTTCGGGTCATTGTCCTCATGACCTCTGACAGAGACCAAACTCTCTGACACTGGGCCCTACATTGCACCCCAGAATTCTTTGGCAGTCTTCTGATTTCATAATGCCATGCACACAGTCAAGACATCCCGTGCCTGAAGCAGCAATGCAACCCCAAAACATCAGTGAATCTCCACCATGTGTGAGTGTAGGGACTGTATTCTTTTCTTTAAAGGCCTCATTTCTTTTTCTGAAAACAGTAGAATGATGGGCTTTACCAAAGAGCTGTCATTATGTTTTGCCTGTCCACAGCAGTATTTTGACTTTTCTCAGGTAAGTTTTGGCAAATTCCAATCTGGCATTTATATGTTTCGTGTCAGCAGTGGGGTCCTCCTGGGTCTCCTACCATAGCGTCCCTTTTCATTCAGACGGCGACGTATAGTGCGAGCTGACACCGTTGTACCCTGTGCCTGAAGGTCAGCTTGAATTTGTATGGAAGTTGATGGAGGGTCTTTATTGGGGTTGCACAGATACCAAGTACAGTACTCGGTACAAGTAAGAGTACATGTACCGATACTTTTGAGCTCCAAAAGTTAGGAGGCAGCTGTCATTTGTAAGGAGCACACTGAGCTCCTGGGATTTGTACATCTCTGTTTTAATGTACGATTTTGTTTTTATAAATAAAAGGATGCACAGATACCAGGTTTGCGAGTACAAGTACTGATACTTGCCGAGTACTTACAAGTACGAGTACTGATACATTTTTGTTTATTGTCATGTGACAGTTTTTCTAAAACAATACAGACTAATGATTTCAGGACAGTGGTGGAGTGCCAGAGCCAGGTCCCAGCTGCAACCGCAGCAAACCTGGTAGTTCTCATGAAAATGCCAAGTATCTGCGCTGGTACTCGAAAAGTATCTGTGCATCCCTAGTCTTTATCCACCATTCGAACAATCCTTTGTTGCAATCTTTGATCAACTGTTCTCTTTCATCCATGTCCAGGAAGATTAGCTACAGTGCCATGGGCTGTACGCTTCTTGACAATGTTGCGTACAGTGGACACAAGAACATTAAGATCTCTGGAAATGGACTTGGAACACAGAGACACACAACAGAAAGGTTGAGTCCATTTTTCACCATTTTAACTGGTTGCCGGTGTGATTTCTATATTGTCAGCACCTGTTAATTGATACTGGTGAGTTTAATTACAAATTACAGGAGCATCACAAACTTGGAATGCAATTTATTTCTTGCAATTTGGAGAAGGTGCCAATATTTTTGTCCAGTCCATTTTTGGAGTTTTGCGTCCGATTTGGTTTTTGTTTCACTCCACCTTTTTGTGTCATACTAATACAAACAAAAGAAATAAACATGAGAATGTCTAAACGTTTGTAATTGCAACAATTTTCAGCTTGAAGTGGTGCATTATCTGACAGAAATGCAGGGGTGCCAACATTTTTGGCCATGACTCTGTGTGTGTGTGTGTGTGTGTGTGTATATGTATATCTGTATATATAGATATCTATAGATAGATATATAATTACAGCCTGTGGTGTGGAGATGACAGTAGGAGGTATTCAGAAGTTTATCAAAAGACAACTGGGCAGGGCTGACACCATTCTGCCCAGAAAAATGCTGTGTGTTGTCAGCTATAAGAAATTGAGAGCTGTGTGCATTTCTGGCAGATCACCGGGTGTTTTCTGTACTTGAAAGGGATAAAACATAAAGGGATTGCTTATGTGCAGAACTGTGCAGCTTCCCCCCCGACATATACTTTAACTTTGTGAAATAGTTCAGAGCCAACTCTACTAGGGTAACGTGATTATCTGTTTACAAATTACAGGAAGTTTTCTACTGCTCCTCTTTCAATTAGTTTTCCTCTGTTCATAGGGACATTTCATTTTGGGATTTAATAATTGTAAAATTCTGATGAAACATAAATGTTTTCAGTGGGAGAAGCAGAGAAAGGAATATAGAATGAAAGCTATTTGTTCCTGAAAGTGGAGCACTAGGGAAGCATGTATAGTGTTAACTACAGACAAATAGCTCTAGGCAATTTTCCTTTTCTAAAGGGAAAGTTATGTGTTCAGCTGTTTACTGTTCTAAATGTATCAGACAGCACGGTGCCCGTGAAGGCCTACAGCTCTATAGATGTTCAGGTAAAGGCTTCACTCAGACCAGCCGCACAACCTGTCATGTGTTTGTTTTATATATTACACTTTTTTCAGTAAGCAACACAGTGGGGGGGCGGGGGGGCGGGGGGATTTATTATAACTGGAGCAGACAAAATCTAGTGCAGATTTGCATTGCAACCAGTCGGCTTCTCTCATTTTTGAATCTTACCTGAGCAAACCGAAGAGAGAAGCTGATCGGTTGCCATGGGCAACTGCTCCAGATTCTCTCTGCTCCAGTTTTGGTAAATTCCCCCCGATATGTTTAGTGTGACTGGAGCCTTAAGCTGGCCGTACACTGTGACTTTCGTCCTGTTCTTCATGAACCAGTCAAAATGCGCTCAGTGGGGGTCCTGCCGTCTTCCGTCCTGCATCCTTTGATCAGAAAATTGAAGGATCCAGTCGGAAAACATTTGGATGTGATGGCAGCCAATTGGCAATGAATTCTGACAGTTGTCGGTATGCCACTGTGAGAATGCAATAGCCCTGCAGGATTTTCGTCCATCCACGCTGTTAAGCGTGGATGTAGGAATCGTTTATATATTTTTTTGGGGGGTTCATCTTGCAGTTTGAGCGGGGGGAAAAAAACGGTGTATGGCCAGTTTTTAAGAGTGGTCATGCACCAGTAGAAATTTTTTTTTTTGTGAAAAAAATCAGTTTTTGGAACATTTTGTTGGAGGCAGCACAGTGGCGTAGTGGTTAAAGCTTCTGCCTTGCAGCACTGGGGGTCCCAGACACTATCTGCAAGGAGTTTGCCTGTTCTCCTTGTGCTTGCATGAGTTTCCTCCGGGTATTCCAGTTTCCTCCCACACTCCAGAGACATGCTGGTAGGTTAACTGGCTCCTGTCTAAATTGGCACTCTATGAATGTATGTGAGATAGGGATCTTAGATTGTAAGCTCATAGAGGGCAGGGACTGATGTGAATGTGCTACTATGTAAAGTGCTGTGTAAATTGTCCGTGCTATATAAATACCTGTAATAAATAATGATTTTCTAATAGTTGATACGATCAATTCGATTGATTTTTGACTGTAGTGACAAAAAAATAATTTTAAGGAGCAGGATGGAAAATTTTTCTTGAACAAACAAAATTCTACAATGAATGTGGTTTACATTCCAGAAACTCCATTCATTCCAACATTGCAAGTTACAATCAAACAAAATTTCAAATGACATTGTGCAATTCTCTGATAGCATTATTGTTCTGATGAGATTTTTCATATGAAAGTTTTTACAAAATTCTACCAGTGTATGGAACTTGTACATTATCAGGAACTGCTGAAGCTTAACCTGTCAGAGGAATACCGAAAGCTGCAGCCGGTATGCACAGACACCTGAGTGCCTGTACTTCATATCCATCAACAGCTTTTTGTCTGCATAACACCCTACATGGCCTGACTCTTAAAGAGATGGTCAAATTTTTCTTGCAGAACCTTTTATGTGTATATGGTTGACCTCCTGATGTCTGTGTGCTAAACAGAGCCATCTTTGACTCTCCAACTAAAGAATGGATTACAGTCGTCCTTATGTACACAGAACATACTAATTATTATTATACAGGATTTATATAGCGCCAACAGTTTGCGCAGCGCTTTACAATATAGGGAAGACATTACAATCACAGTTCAAGACAAGATGGTAAGGAGGGCCCTGGTGGCTTACAATCTAAAAGCATATCCTTTTGAAATACAATATACAAGCATCTGAACAAATCCAGTGCATTATAAAGTGTGCAATAAGGATCTACATTTTAATTGACACTGCCTCCAGTCAAATACTGGTAGGACTGTACACCATTCAGTAGTAATGAAGCATCTTACAACTGTGGAGACTTTACTCCTAAGAATTGCTGGAAGACAATTAAGAAGTTGGTATGTAAACAGGAGCCTAATGACTTCCTTTTGTGTGACCCTTCCAGACGTTTGTTCAACTCTAGACCAGAAGTCTCTGCTTTGAAAAGCATTCATGTATCTCTCCTGCTGTGAGCAGTAATGAGGGATGTGACAATTTCAATGAGCTCTGTCTACCTTGATCTTATCAGAACACATGCCTTCTGAGCTCTGCAGATATAGGTAGAAATTATATCAACATATGGTCTTTTCATCTGTAAAATATTCTCGAATAGCCGATTCACATGTGTTTGTTTTCACGCAGCAAAACTCATGCATTTTGCTGCATGAAAATGCATTGCAAGTAGAAATCCCATTATTTCCTATGTTGCTTGTTCACGTCTGTGCAGTGCATTGTGAAAAGGAAAGATATAGTATTGTAGCTTATTCACACATATGCATGTGCATTTTCAAGCATGCTGTTTGCACACAGAACAGTGTGAATCCAGCCTTACACCACACTGTACCTTTTTAATCCTAATGAAAAAAAGGAGATATATATAACTAGTACTTATAGTACCGAGAATGCTCATGGCAATTATTTTATTTTTCAGGAACTGTGCCAGTGTCGTCCCACAGATGGAAACTGCTCCTGCTGTAAGGAGTGTATGCTGTGTCTGGGCACACTCTGGGATGAGTGCTGTGACTGTGTAGGTAAGTGCTAATTTTAAGACTTGTGAAGACAGGAAGCAAGATGTATTGTAAAAGGGGGATTTTTTTTTCCCCTCAGAACTAAAACAATAAACACCCTATATTAATGCAATTGCGTATCATCTATTAAGTATATTGCAGGGCAAAATGATAAAAAAAGACGCACATGCAGTACATCTCTGCAATACATACATGTTTCCACATGTTTATACCTTTTTAAAGACCCTACACGTACAAAAAAAAATCCTGTTGATCTGCCAGAAATATTCTCTGCTCCTAAAGTCAGCAGGGCTCAGCCAAAATGTTACCCTTGTGATGGCAATAATGTGTAAAGGAGAACTATGGGGTAAGTGTTTTTTCCCCATAGTTCTCCTCAGGGTTACGAGAGGACACAAACTAGCGTCCTCCCGTGACCCAAAGCTCAGTATAGCGTGAGCTATACTGAGACCGCCCCAGCGGGGACTGATCCCGACATTACTGTACCCGCCAGCTGTACCCGCCCCCTCCCCTGTCCGTTCCGCCACTCAACGCTGGAGATCCGTCTCGAATTGTGGACCTCAACTGACACTTGATGTTTCCTAATGTAAATTGATGGTCATCAGTTTTCATCCACACTGCCATAGAGATGCATTGTTGTCCGTTTTTCATCTGCAAACGGAGGGTTGGTATCCTGACAACCTGAAATCTCGTGTGAAATGGACCTAATTATGAGGTTCTCATTACCAGAATGCTGTTGGCGTTTCGCGATCTTGGGTGCAACCCGAGTGTCAAGCTCCATTTCCTGAATAGTCACCTTGATCAATTCCCCGAGAACCTTGGGGCTGTTAGTGATGAACAGGGAGAGCTCTCCCATCAGGAACTCATGACGATGGAACAGCGCTACGAAGGACGAAGGGACAAAAATATGATGGCAGACTGCTGCTGGAGCATCAAATGAGATTGCCCTGAGAGTCCATAAACGCCACAGCTACAAGTGCAAATCCTTGCCTGAATAGGAAATATTTGAACTTTGCATCCCAACCTTATCAATTGTTTTGAATCACCTATCAACATATATTTCAACATAAAGATGATTTAACGTAAAAAGAATTAGTATACTCGTATTTGACTATCATGGATAAATGTTTCAGCTGTGACAAGTGGTGATGCATATTTTTTCCCACATAAGTGATTGATTTTTTTGCCTTTTTTTTTTTTTTTTTTTTGTGATGCATGTACATGTTTTTGTGAATACATAAAGGTTATCTTTGCCAGGACAGTTCTTTAAGCCTAATGTTAAAACTGCGTGACCATAAATTCCTGTCCATGTCATCATGTGAGAGGTGTCAAAATTTTGCGCAAACATGAAAATGTTGAAATAGCAAAACAATCTAGAGCTTACAGAGAGAAAACTAACTTCAGACTTGAATTCAGCACATCCAAATTGGGTAAGAACTACTGCTGGTATCAATGCAACAAAAAATGTGTTTCCCAGTGTAACCCATAAAGACTTTTAAAACGTCACATATGGACAGTTTTTGGGTACCATATGTTTTAATAGCCATTTAATGGGTTCATGCAATTTTATGAATAGAGAGGCAATGTTCACATGGGCATACCTGTTTCAGCATCAACGAATAGGGGATTTCCCTTACATTGTGGAGATTTCCTTTCTCTTCCTGTTGGGTTTACAGGACAGAAAGGTGAGTAGAGGTCTCTCCAATGGGACACATGCGGCAAAATCATAGAAAACCTAATAGAGGTATTAACCAGTTCACAGTACAACTGGGCTTTATACATCTAGGGAATGAATGACGGCAGAGCTCCTGAATCTGTTTTGGGGAAACTAAACTAAGTTTCCTACTATTGCTGTCCTCTTACATAAAACAAATAAACCTGATTTTCATTTTTGTGTTTTAATAAAACTGAACTCCAGCATAGAAACTTTATTTCAAATATGTTCTTCAATAGCAACAAAGGGTATAATTCTCCTAGTTCAAATGTACACAACATTGGTTTACATCAGTGCAGCTTCTATTCCTTTTTAAAAAAAAATGTATTTGAGTGTCCTGAGCTGTGAGACATGTTGGTCTTTATGAGAACAAACCCCTGTAACATATTCTACACCATCACCAGAGAAGTGTGTAGGATTTGATGTGGCACAGATCACACTTGGCTTGTTTGTGATTTGTGAAGTCAAGCCGGAATCTTGGCATGATTGAATGCAGGTGACTCCGCCGAGTGCCAGACTAGCATCCGCCCTCAGGGCCTGTTACAGGCTGTGCACTTTTCTCCAGATGTGCAGAGTTATGAGCTGACATCACTGCTTACAAAAACACAAGCTCTAGCTGCACTTTCATTGCACCTCCACTCATAAACACTTCCCGCTTCCACTCTTCTTTTCATTGGATTTCTTTTCTATTTAAATAGGCCTTCACGTTTCTTTCCTAATTAAGTATGTTCAACAAAGTTTCTAAAGACTTTTTGTATGACTAGGGTAAAGAAGGAGGTATACTATTCATTAAAGAGGACCTAAATGAAACCAGTGACAATTTGCTGTCCTATAGGGAACATGTGCCCAAGGCTTACCCCCCACACATGTACAATCTCTGTACAATCCACTTTAGATCTACCAAAACTATGTAATATGAGGCCCTAGCTAAACTATCCAGTCAATCAGTCAGGCCCTTGCACTACATACCTGATGGCTAATGTAACAGATTGTAGAATCAGATTGTAATGTGTGTAGTGAGCCCCAGCAGTACCCTGAAAGATATACCATATGTCTTAAATTCCTCCTAAACAATAGCATTACACTCCCTGTGTCTTAAACTTCATAGTCGTATATCTGCAGGGTGAAATCATATAAGGCGCTGTGCTTCTTACTGCTAATCTCACATGGTTTGTTGTGTGATTTGGTGATGCCACTACTCTCTGGTCTCCTTGCTGGAGAGTAAGCTGTACCTGAAGACCGGTACTGCAAGAGTTCTCCTTGCTTCTCCATCATACTTTCTGTGGATCTGTGCTTTCTGCACCTCTCTTGTTGCTTCTTGAGGAAGCAAAGCCCTGTCACTACCTAACTGCCTGAAGGCAGAGACGTAGTGCAGATCATGGAATAGTAAGTCGGTAATGGGGAGAAGATCAGCTTCAGAGGGGCTATAGTCAGAATTGGTGACTTGTCTTTTTTGCTCTCTGCATTCCTTTTTTTGTACATGGCTTCCACAGTTCTTGTCCTCTTAAATGGGACTGTAGCCTCACAAATCACTTTTAGCTAAATGAATGGTAAGGTAGCTACTTTCAGTACTCTTTCGTATTCCCCAAAAATATTTTGTTTTCCCTGTGGTGTAAACTCCAGCCTTGGATATTGCACATGCGTTCCACTCTGCAGAGAGGTGGCATGACAGACTGGAATGTGGCTTGCTCACTGACAAAACTGTACATCCTGCAGCACACCTTCTGGTGGCCCTGTGGTCCCTGAATTTGAATTGTCAAGGGAGACTATAAGGCCTTATTCACACAGCTAAGTGTCGGCCCTTACAGATCTGAGCGGCATGCATGGCCGTTCCCAGGAAGGACCGGCGCTGCGTGTAATTGTACGCAGCAGTCTGTTCTTCCCTAATGGGAGGACGCAGCCGTGTGTCCGCCGTACGTTCACCCGGACGCAGATAGGATCCATCCTGTCTGCATACGAATACGGACACCCGCACGGATGTGCGGCTTTGGTGAGTGTACATATTTAGGTATTTTGTTAGTAGTTTTTTTAATTAGTTTTCATGCATGTTCACTGTATAGGTTGTTGTATTAATGTTTTGTCAGTTCTGGTGTTAAGAAAATTTGTATTTCTTCACTTAGGCCAGGTTCACCCCTGGGCGATTTTGTGCACAATCACACACGGCCCTATTGATTTTCAATGGGGTTATATCCACGCAAAAATCCGTATGTAGCTTTTTTCGCGACGTTTTTTTTTCCGCAAAAAAAGTTGTGAATCGCCTAAGTGTGAACCAGGCCTTAGACTTGGGTCTGGTATCTTCTGCATAGTTTCCGTAGCTGATCAGAGGATACTAGCCCATGGTGTCTTTACATTCAAACATCCGAGCTAATGCAATATTTTGCAATCCTCAGTCCATGCTATCAGATAGCTGCGCATTTGCAGGATCTCAGGATGCTGCGAGTGGTCGAGGCTACGCGACCAGGAAGTAAAATGAATGGCAATAAACAGTTTAATGGCAGCTTTGCTGCATTTTCATACAAATGGACCACATGGGGGGTCCTTCGAATCAGCACAGCAGCAGGTATGGAAAATACACTGTAGTCAAAAAAATCAGCTTTACTGCTGTGTACAGTTTCAGTATCAAGCGCCATTCACCTTGGACCTTTTTATGTGTACCAATGCATTGCATATATTTGAACAAGCGCCATTTAGAAGAATGTTTTGCTGGCAAAGGGTTTATATGTGTTGGAACACAAACGTGAGTGTAGATCTCTAGATTGGAAATCCCATGTGTAGATATACAGCAGAACATAACTGCAGTTCAGTTCAACATACACAGAACATCATTCAGATTTAGTACAACCTTCACAGAACATAACTTGGGTTTAGTTCAACATGTCACTGTATTGGCAAATACTGCTTTCAGTTTTCCCCACCATTCCAACTCTTTTTAAATACTGAAGCAACATAAAGCACCTTAAAGTGTATTTCCACTTTGGTAGCCAAACGGGGATAACATTTATTTTTTATGTGTTACATGGCCCCATTCACATTCCATAACTTATTTGTTTATTTAATTCCTGCTAGCACAATGTATGTTCATTTCCAAAGGAAAAGTTATTCACTGTACAGAGTTTTTTGCTCTGGAACGCAAGGGGGACTAGGCAGGTCAATGGTAATATAATGAACCCTGTCTGTACTGTGCTGGCAGATATCGTTATCAGCTGTAAACTAGATTTGAACACCGTCTGTCCTAATAAAGGGTTAAAGATGTAGAAACATTGTATGTGAATGAGGGGAAGCTCTGTCTGTCTCTAGTCTTTCTATGGGGACAGGCAGAGTTTCCTGTCATTTGGAAATTGAGAGAGAAGCTTGCAAAGGCCTGCTGCACAGACGCATCTAAAGGGTAAGAAATGTTTTTAAACATCATTTTTGGGTATGTTGTGTGAAATGGGAACGCGTATCAAACATAGACAAGGGGTTTTCTCAAGTTTGACTGCAAAAGTGGAATTGCACTTTAAAAATGACAGACCCCAAATGCTGACCACTTTTACTCACTATATTCTGTGTTGGATGGAATTGTGGATTTTTTGGAAAACTGAATCGCCTCCATGTAGCCCCCTCTCCCACAAGTACCAGCTTGTACCATTGCTCTGTTTATTTGCACTGCCACCTGCTGATGACATTTAGTACTGCATGACAAGAACATACACAAATGAAAAGATTGAAATTGAGTAAATTGTCATCTCGTGGACAAATAAAATGAGCTTACAATCAAATTGTCCTGATAAATATATGAACGCTCTCAAGTATAACAAGTAATCTGCACACAAGATAAATTGTTTTGAATTCCTTCCCAGGAATGTGCAATCCCAGAAACTACAGTGACACTCCCCCAACTTCCAAGAGCACGGTTGAGGAACTTCATGATCCCATCCCATCTCTCTTCCGTGCGCTGACAGAGGTGGACGGCATAAAGCAGCTTAACTGGAACATTGTTTCTTTCCCTGCGGTGGAAGAGCTTTCTCATCATGAAAACCTGGTCTCCTTTCTGGATTCAGTGAATCAGCCCCAACACCAGAATGTATCAGTGCCTCAAAACGGGGCCCATGTGGTTCACAGCAATGATAAAGGTACCTGCAGTAAACTTTGATCATTTTATATGTTTCTTTAACTTTTGACAATTACCCCTTTCATTTTGAAGAAAACATTTTTGTGTGTTTGTCCCTTAGGAACAGGTTCTGAAATTGATAGGATCAGCACAATATTTTTAGCAATAAAACTAAAGAGAACCTTTCAAAAAGGCTTTAACCTGTTATACCTGTGACCCCTGCTCACATAAATATTTCTCTAAGGATGTCAAGTGATCAGTGCTAGAAGAGCTCTGTTCAGGGGCTGCAAGGATTCAGCACTGGATACCTGTGCTAATGTTATGATACATATCCAATTTTAGGCATTTTTTGAGGTTAAAGTACACCTCTCATGGAAGGATTATATAGGCTGCCATTGCTGACCCCTCAGCAATGTAAAATTCTTGGTTGTCCTGATGATTCGGCCTTAGACATTTTTAATATACTACCCTGGAACAGGTATAGAGATAAGGAATACTGACACTTTTGTGACTCAAAAGTATTGGAGCCAGACCTCCATATGGATAGCATTTTAAAAAGGAAAGCAGCAGGGTGGGAAGATGGGTATGGCCCTTGCATATCTCCCCGTCTGGCTCTTGGCAAGCTGGGACACTCTGGTCAGAAAGGGGGCAGCAGGCACACTGCAAACATTACCATTTTGTCTGGCGCTCCCCCCCAGAAGATGCTGTCTCGGGTAACAGCCTCAGGCTGCCTCATTATAGGGACAATCCTGATGGTAGTCACATTTATGTTTAGGAATTATTGACTACACTAGGGGTTAATTTACTGTTAGGGGAGGAAAGGGTTAGGTGTTTGGGCCAGGTTCATTATTTGTATTTTCAGTAAAGGGTAAAGTTTTAAGAGTGCCCAGTTCCATTATTTCCAGGAGACTGTAATACCTGTTAGACAGTTTGTAATTGTGCTGCTTATATTATGTGTTTTTGTTTTTTTTTTTGTTGTTTTCCTCCTGAAGAAAATGTTCATATATGTAAATATAATTTCCTGCTTCTACCATTCTGTTGTGCACAGGTGTAGCCGGTAGGTGCTGATCAGAGCAACAGTAATCTTAGTGGTGCTGTGGGCAAAATAAAACCATATATGATGAACTCTGTCAATAGCAATCCATGCAGTCAGCTCTAAAACATGTGCTGAAAGTGCTTATGAAGTGTTAGCTAGAGTTTAAGTTTTAATGTGTTTCTCTTAAATCTATCCAAGTCTACCCTGTCCCACTGGGTGCCAGTTCAATATCACTGCAGAAGGGACAGCATTGCCATTACTGGAAGTGGGGAAATGAACAGATCTGCTGGCAGCATCATCAAGTGATACAACTACAGTATGTTATAGGAACACTCAGAGACATAAACTGCAGTGCTAATGCTTGTGACAGACATTTTGTGTCTTATATATATTCCATAGTTGCACTTTAAAGCTTCATTTGCAAAGCCAACACACCAGGCTAAGGATCCTTATTTTCAAAAAAGTCAGTGCAATGAGATTTAAACATTTATATTCGCACGGCTATAAATAAAGACCGTTCTCCTTGTGTTCAAGTGAATTGAGTCTTAAAGCATTTGTGAACCGGATACAGCTAAAGCACAATGGAAAAAAATTATATTTGTCTGCTATAGTTGCATATTTTTACCCTGTTGTGTACCCTTTTTTGTTGTTGTTAGTCAGTCACATGACCACACAGCTGTCCTATGGGTCTCACTTCCGCATAGTGTGTGTGTGTGTGTGTGGGGGGGGGTGTCACACCCAGGCATGGAAGTACTTCCCTGTCTGTACGACGATAGATGCACCTGCTGTGGGTATGGCTACAAAACGGTCTACAGGAGACACAGGAATGCTGTGCATCTGCACTACATCTTGCAGCTTCCAGCGCCAGTCCTGGGAGCACAAAGTGACCAGCCATACTAGCCATGCTTCTGTAATCATGATTTAGTAAAACCTATACTAACAACTTAACTCTGATATTAAATCGTATTTTTGAGGGTAACATGCACTTTAAATGTTCTATCAGAGGGTACATTTTCACGTCTGTGCTGTGGCAAATGGGTACTTTGTAGTTTTACTCCTGATTGTCAGTTGCAGTGAAATTTCAGAAAAGAAGCAATAAGCAGAAGCAATACAAACGTGTGCTAATGGAAAGTCTGTAGCTTGCTGGGCTGGATATGAATAGCCTGCAGACAAAATATTATCGATTTGTTATTTATAATCTTTATTCCAGTAAGTTGAGAATGTTTGAGATTGGCGAGGAGTTGTTTCATTATAGAAGATGTTGATGACAAGTGGAAACATAGGTTGGCAAAGATAACAACTTGTTCACCGGCATCTGGCTTTGTTGGAATAAAATTCAGTCATCTGTGTTTTTTATATGCAAGAAATGTTTCAACAGTGCCGAGCATCAAACAGGAAAAAAAGAGAGATTGTTAAGGTTCATCCCTGGGCAAATATTAACCCCCTCCCTCCCATCATCCTCTAATCCATTCTGCACTATTTTTCTCTTACCTTGTAAAGCAAGATATAATCAACTAAGACGACCATACGGGTCCCTTGCCGGTACTGTTAGCAAGTGGGGTGGACCACTAATCCAGCTGTGCAGATTTGCCCACGCTGCCTGGTCCCCTGTCACTGACATCACCGTTGCAGACTCCCCTTGTTCCTGAGAGGATCCTGCCACTAGATAGCCAATAGGAAATGTCCTTGTCTTAGAGACAGTAATTTGGACACCTGAAGAATGACCCAGCCAACTGTTTAGAGAAGAAAAGAGACTAGGGGGCTGGGAGATCACCTCATGATGACTGCTTTAGTCAGCAGCTATCAGTCAGTTAGATGGGGTTGGTTAGGGGGATAGGGGGAATCCCATAGATCAACTTTAATGTTTCCTGAACTATAAAGAGCCTTGTGTATATTCTCAACACCCCATCACCCCCATACAACAACATTCCTCTTGTTGACATAAAATGCAAATGTACAGAGGTAATACAGAAGAGGGAAACAAATTAAGGAAAAAATGGTCAGTTTGTAAATGTTGAGATTGCTTGGTGCTGCTGAACAGCAAGGATTCAGAGCAGTGAGGTTCTTGGGCTGTGCACATCAGAGGGTAACTGCAGGGGTTTTCTTGTATATTGTTGAAAATGGAGAACCCATCAACCCTTTCTCTGCTTTAAGACTTCAAACTGCGTTCGCTTCTGATGGCTAAACCGGAGTTCATATGTTTCACAAGCACTAATAAAACGCATATCATAGACTTCAAAATTAGTGAAAGAATCCTCCTTCTGGTTAATTGACTGCAGCAGGAGACCCATTTACAGTAGTTTGTTGGATCTCCTGCTGTGGAAAGTGGTGGCATCCTCCTATTACCAAACCCACAACTGTGCTTCTGTGGGCTTTAAAGGGGTTGATAAAAAGCGTCATGATTTGTTAACAGAGGTTCTGGCAGGGTAATGGTTACGACATCTTTCCTTTTACTGGCTGCAAAAGGAAGAACATACCAGAGCTATCTCCCCTTTGCAATCAGCACTAGTGTTTCTTTGAAAATGTTCTCTGTGCATGTATAATAAACTACATCAATAAGTCCCAGGTGTACAATTCTTAAGCCATTTACATTTTTAAATATCAAGTCGCTGTGCCCGGAAACCAGGTGCACATTTTTGTTCCATCATTTTAATGGTTTATATTTAACTTGCAATCTATGTAGATGTATTGCTTACTGCACAGTCAGATGTGTGGTGCCAAAATTGACCCGTGTTCCATATACTGTATATGACTGCCTGCGTTTACTGTTTGGTAAAGTCAGCATTTCACAGTGTGTTTGAACTGCTAAATCATTATACATAATATATGTCAGCACTGACACATCAGGACTACCCTTGGAAGAGTTGGCGTGAGAACCCTATCATGCATACCTAATTGGAAAATACTGTTTTTTGGGGGGGTTTAAGGTTGGGTTTAAGAAAAGGATCATGTAAATAAGTAATTTTCTGAACAAAGAAAAAGTTTGTCTTTAATGTAAAGAAACAAATTATGTTTGAAAACATCTTATGAGATTTCACTTTAGCTGATTGTTGTCATTTTGTCATTAAAATGCTGGTCTAGAGCTTAAGCATAGGAACCATTAATATTTGCTATATGTCATAGGGCCTTGGGGGCACACATGCTTGTGACCGAATTAGGAAGACTTTAGACATTTCAGAAATGTCAATCTTAAGCCAAAAATCTGGCTATGGGGTGTAGAGGGGGACTTGTGATGACAGAACACATTGACATAATTTTTTAAATGTAGATCAATACATCTATCAGTCCTTGTAACCATGTACATTCTGTATACTGCATGATTTTCAGCTGCTCTAAAATGTCTTGATCTGACCAACTATTGATTCTTTATAAATGTAGAAGAGAACATGTTATGGAATATGTCTGGTATGTATGGATGCATGAGGGTTCAGTTAATTTGGTTTCTTCAATCCTGCATAAGATGTCATTAGTAGAATTCTAACTGCCACCAGATATTTTCACTTCTCTACTGAAAGGCTGGCTAAATAAACCCAAAAGCAATGGCACTTGGCACCATTGCTTTCAGTGCCAGGCTTTGATCATTTAGCAGAAAAACAGAAAATAATAGGGTTTCCGGAGAGGTGTAATTGACCAAGCATATAAAGTTGACTAAAAATATATAAAATTTTATTTATATACAAAAAATGAATAAAAGTTAAAAATCCATACAATTCATATATCTTACACTGCCCTGCATAGGGTTTTTTTGTATACATATAACCAATGATTTCATACATGTGTATTGATATAATCCAAATAGTTATAATAGCAAATTCCTGCAAATTCCTTGAGTGCTCAGCATCCTTTCCTACAGTAGCAAGGATGCAGTAGTCAACTTGTGTATGTACAGGGCACAGATTGTGTACATCTTTCTGGACACATATGTGTGCAGTTTGCACATGTACACATTCAGTTGTTAGATCATCCCTTCAGTAATCATAGTTCCCATGCAAAATGTCCATTGTATAAATACAGTAAGGCCCCTTTCACATGGGCTTATCAGGAGGCAATCTGTGCACAAATCCCCTGCTGATCAGAGCAGATGTCACCACTGTGACATCTGTGTGCGTCCAGTTTTTTCCTCCTTTGAAAAAGTAATGACCGGGCCCCATCTCGTTTTATGGGGAACCAGATTACCCCCAATCCGGCACAAATGTTTTTCTGGCTGGAATCGGGGGGTAACAAGGTGTAAACGGGCATCTGTCCGTATAAACCCGGCAGCCATAGACCAGCATTTGGGTTCTGCCTATAGGTCTGGCATTTCAAAATTAGCTTGGCTGTTTTCACCAAAAAACGGGACCTAGCACCACATAATCCAATATAAATCCAATTTCTGATTTATACTCACAATAATGTGGCATTGTACTGGAATGTTAGTAGTAATAGCAGCAATGGTGATATACTATGTTCTAAAACAAATATACACTATATTGCCAAAAGTATTGGGACACCTGCCTTTACACGCATATGAACTTTAATGGCATCCCAGTCCTAGTCCGTGAGGGTTCAATATTGAGTTGGCCCACCCTTTGCCGCTTGCTTCTGCTGTGCGCTAGGATTCCTTGTTATGTAATCATTGTGGTGCTTATGTATTATATTATTTCACAGCAAGATGTTGAGAATTGAACAACTTCCAGCTCTTTGCATAGGGGAGATTAACAAGCAGATGCATCATATTAAAGTATTTTACTGATGACATCTTCTGGTCTTGTTAAAAAAAAAAAAAAAAAAATAT